AGTTCAGTGCCTGAAGGTTTGCCTCTTATTCGAAAGTGAGAGCAAGGAATTGCTCCCCAGAAGGGACTGTTTCTCTTTGCATTCATAAGCAAATAGTTCATGGTCATGTTTAATGGTCACAGTATTACATACCGAGGACTGTCATACACATGACATGCAGATGAGGAGAAGAACCTGTATCTGCCAGGAGAGCCCAGGAAAACCTCCACGGACAGTGTGAGCCTGTGGTGACCAGTTCCAGCAAAGTGAGAGATCAGACAAGGTAGTGGCAAAAAAGAAAGCACTGAATCCATGCATCTGTGTGGATAAAGTGAGTTCTAACCTGAAGTATTCCCAGGTAAGCAAGGACTATGCAGCCCTAGAGGAGAGGGTGGGAGCACAGCAGGCACAGGGAAGGGAAACTGGCAGTGACTCATGTCATTGTTAGTGAAGTACCACCAGCGGTCACATCTAGAGTCACTGGCAATGCACCATCATCTCTTCAGTCACCTGCCATATCCATAGGCCTTGGGGAGAGGGATTAACAGGAGGGACCCCCACCTGGCTGGCTTTGCTTCCCACCCAGACCAGCACTGCCATGCGGGATCACCCCATGGGCACCACAGCCCACTTTCAGGCTTTCCTGTTCAGGTGAAATTACTGATGTTTCATTTGGTACCCATTGCCTCATGTCCTGTCACTGAGCACCACAAAAAAGTCTCGGGCTGCCTTATCTGATATCCTTTCATCAGGTTGTGAGGAATGTTTTAACAATTCCAATTCGTGTCCATAAATTTGTGTCCATAAAGAATAATTCTGTTTGAATCCTGTCTGCCTCTGGGCCCTGCACGGGCAATTTAGTTCTTGAACCACAGATGCAGTGTGCCCCAGTCTCCCCCTCATTCTAGTCAATTTATCACGTCTTCAGAAAACACTCCTTAAATTTGTGAACCTGTTTGCTTTTGTTATTCCGGACTTCTATTTCTAACAGTTACAGCCTTTTTTCCTGTCTTCTTTGAGATTAACTTAACACTGCTATAGATGTGTCTGTGAATGGCTGGGGAAGAATGTTTTAATTACTCGTGAAGCGTCAAATAAGAAAGCTGTTTGTGTTTGATGTCTGGGAGTTTCAGAACAACTGATAACAACTAGTGACTGTTATGGGATACTATGAGGATCCTTGGTATCTGGCCAGGGGGGCCAAGAGATTAAGAGGAAGAAAAAAGAAGCTGAAGGACGGTTGGGAGACAAGACCTGTGGGAGAGTGTACAGAGAGTGTTCCATAAACTTGGAATAGTGCCGAGTAAGTACAAAGGGTGAGAGGAAGACTACGAGCCTTCAGCATGAAAGACCCCTAGAGACCCCCAGAGGAGACTGATTCGCATGCTCCAGTAGGAGGAACTGGACCCCGGAAGCTAATTATAATAATCTACTTTTTTAGAAGTAGTAATGAATATGTATTAGTCTAGGTGCATAAAAATCAGCTGCTTGATGTAACTGGTGTGCGTCCTGGTGGAGCAGAGACTCCCGGTGCACCCAGCGCTGTTTGCTTACCTCTATTCCTTTATATTCTTTTAATAAATCCTATTTTTTATTTAATCCTAATTTGAATCCTGAGCCATTTATAACAAGGTCTTCACATAACATGGACAAGAACCCCCCAGACATTCTCCAGGCTGAACACTCCCAGCTCTCCCAGCCTCTCCTCATCTGACGATGCTTCAGTCTCTCAAGCATCTTTTTGGCATTTACTGGAAACATTGCACTACATCCAGGTCTTTCTTGCACAGGGCAGACCAGATCTGCACACTGCACCCTGGGTGTGGCCTCAGCAGGGCTGAGTAGAGAGGTAGGACCAATTCCCTCAATGTGCTGGCAAGGCTCATAATAATGAAGCCCAGGGTGCTGGAGGCCTTCTTTGATGTAATGACACATGACTGGCTCCTGTTTATGTTGTTGACCACCAGAAAACCCAGATCCTTCACTAACAAGCTGATTTCTAGCTGGTTGGCCCCAAGCAATGTCTTGGTGCTGGGTGTCCTTCCTGCTGGAACATTTCACTTCCTGCTGGAACATTTCACTGAATTTCACGTGGTTCCTCTCTGCCAGGTTCTCCAGCCTGCTACAGTTCCTCTAAAGAACAGCACAACCATCTTGTGTGTCAGCCGCTGCTCTCAGATCCATATCATTTGCAAATTTCCTGAGGGTACACACTGTCCCATTGTACAGATGGTTAATGAAGGCACTAAACAGAGTTGGCCAAGTATTGCATCCTTGTAGGCTGCAGTCATGAGTGACCTCCAGCTGAATTGTTTCTATCTGGTCACAACCCTCTGAAACCAGACATTGAGCAAAGGTCCAGTCCACCTCATTTTCCATTTGTCTAGTCCATACCTCATTATCTTCTCTAGGAGGGTGTTAGGGGAGAGTGTCAGAAGCCTTACACAAGTTAGACAACTTCTACTGCTTCCACAACTTCTACTGTGCCCTTAAACCACAAAATTCCATGATCTGAGGACATCTTTTAGTGGAAGTCTGCAGGTGGGTTAAACATGGTTTCCACTTCATAAATTCTCACTGACTCCACCCAGTCACATTCTTTGGAATTTGCCCAAGGATTCCCTAACAAGATCCTCCACAACTCAAAGTCAGGCTTCCTTGCTGCAGTCTTTTTTTGTTCTGATTTCAAGGACTTGACATTCTAGAAGGAAGGGTTGGAAAAAGTGTGGCAAAAGGGGCACTGTGTACCTCATCCGTCTAGATGTCCTCTGCTTCCAGGGCCCTACCTTCATTTAGCAGTGTGCCTGCATTTTCTCCAGCCTTCCTTTCACTGCTGATCTCCTTGTAGATGTCTTTCTTGTTGTTCTTCATGTCCTTAGCCAGATTCAATTCCTGGAGGGCTTTGGCTGTCCTAACATTATCTCTGCATGCTCATAAATTCAGCATTGATGCTCTCCAGAAACACATTTGTTGTGGTTTAACGTTGCCAGCAGCTAAACACCACACAGCCATTCGCTCACCCTCCCCCCTCCCGCTCTGGGATGGGAGAGAGAAATGGGAAAGTGAAGCCTGTGAGTTGAGATAAAGACAGTTTATTAAGACAGGAAAATAATAATTACAATAGTAATAATAACAATAATAATAATAACAATAATGATGATTATACTACTACTAATAATAATGTGTACCAAACAAGTGATGCACAATGCAATTGCTCACCACCCGCTGACCGATGCCCAGCCTAACCCCGAGCAGTCCCGGCCTCCCCACCCCAGCTAGACACCCCTATATATTGTTTAGCATGACGTCAGATGGTATGGAATACCCCTTTGGCTAGTTTGGGTCAGCTGTCCTGGGTCTGTCCCTTCCCAGCTCTTACTGCACCCCCAGCCTGCCCGCTGGCAGGACAGAGCAAGAAGCTGAAAAGTCCTTGGCTTAGTATAAGCACTGCTCTGCAACAATTAAAACATCGTGTTATCAGCACTCTTCTCATCCTAAGCCAAAACATAGTACCCTACCAGCTACTAGGAGGAAAATTAACTCTTTCCTAACTGAAACCAGGACACCATTAAATGGCTTGTGCTCTGTTGTGTGGGTATTCTAGCAGAATTGGTGTCTTTCAGTTTCCCTCATGAGGACCTTTGCCTGTAAACATGAGGCATTTTCCAGTTGTCTGAGGAAGGTCATGCCTTCTGCTGCTTTTTTTATTAGAGGACATCTCTAGGTGACACCAACTACAAGGTCATGTGTATTGGTCTGCCTGCTAAATCCACACCCCTGAGCTCTCATCACCAACACCAGGGCAGAGCTCCTTGCATTGCTGCTGCTCTCACACAGTAATGTCTGCTCCCCCTCCATGCCTTACAAGCTTGTCCAACCCTGGCTGCACTCCTGTTGCTGGCTGCCACTCTGCTATCCAAGATGAGATCTCTGTAACCACACACAGACCTCTGGTTCCTTCTTCTCTTCTACATCCTGTACACATCAGTGCGCTGGCACTTCAGAGAGATGCCCAGGAATTCTGATTTCCCAAAAAGGATCACAAAATTATAGAATAATTGAGGTCTGAAAGGACAGGTTTGGAGACAGTATTGATCCATACAGTGACTGACCTCCAAATAGACTGTGAACCACAAGACTGTGAGCCCAGCTGTCTGGGCATGTTCCATTCCGCCTCACTGGCTCCTCATTCTGCCCAGGCTTCATCAGCATCTCTGTCAGAATCTTATGGGAGATAAGTGGAAAGTGGAGAGTAATTTCTTTCCTCTGCACTTCCACCCAGCCTTTACTTGTTTTGTTTTCTTTTCCCTTTTCCCTTTTCCCCTCCCTTTTCTCCTTCCCCTTTTTTCCCTTTAGTTAAATTGTTAAATTAATTATAATCTTTCCTTAATAATTACTTTTCCCTTTAATTAAATTATCCATATCTCAACCTGTGAGTTGTTCTTTGCTTTACTTCTTTCCCTCCTCTTCTAAGGAGGGGGAGTGAGAGAGCGGGTGTGGTGGAGTTCAGCCGCCCAGCATGGTAAAACCACCACACCCAGATGGATGGGAATGAGTGCTGCCAAAACTCCTTCCCCAGGGAATCTTTAGATATGCAGGATGCTTGGAAGGATTATGGAGCATTTCCAAAGGCACTAGGTATGTTCAGATATGCATGAGGATGATCGGAATCCCCCGTCGGTCTCCCTTGCCTGTGCCTGCTGCATCCCCATTGCCTCCACAGAGACTGCAGACACCTCCTTTACCTCAGATGCAGAGATATCACACAGAGGCTATGAGAGAGTCAGCTCACACCCAGATACATACTTTATGTGGGCTCCAGGAGAAAGAGAGCAGGTTGATGCCTCAGCAGAAGTGGAAGGAAACCAAACAGTTGTGAAGGAACAGGGTAACCACTTATAACAAAAGCAACAGAAAAGAATGTATTAATGTATATTAATAAATCATACATATACTATATGCATAAAAAAACAGTAACAACAACTACAAACAAACAGGTCTGTCATGGGACAGACTGTGAGTCATTTGTGGAGAGAGAGAAAAAGTTTATCACTTCTGAAAAATGTCCATGAAATCACTTTCCTCAGGGCATCCTTCAGCTCCTGCTTCCTCATGCTGTAGATGAGGGGGTTCACTGCTGGAGGCATCACCGAGTACAGAACTGCCACCACTACATTCAAGGATGGGGAGGACAGGGAGGGCGGCTTCAGGTAGGAAAAAATTCCTGTGCTAATAAACAGGGAGACCACGGCCAGGTGAGGGAGACATGTGGAAAAGGCTTTGTGCCTTCCGAGCTGAGATGGGATTCTCAGCACAGCCCTGAAGATCTGCACATAGGACATAACAATGAAAACAAAACACCCCAAAAAGAGAAAACCACTCAATATGAGGAGTGCAACTTCCCTGAGGTAGGAATTTGAGCAGGAGAGCTTGGAAATCTGGGGGATTTCACAGAAGAACTGGTCCAAAGCATTGCCTTGGCAAAGGGGAAGTGAAAATGTATTGGTAGTGTGCAACAGAGCATTGAGAACCCCACTGCCCCAGGCAGCTGCTGCCATCTGGGCACAAGCTCTGCTACTCAGGAGGGTCCCGTAGTGCAGGGGCTTGCAGATGGCAACGTAGCGGTCATAGGACATGACAGTGAGAAGAAAATATTCTGCTGACATGAGAAAGGGGAAAAGAAAGACCTGGGCAGCAC